CTTTCATTTTTTGTTTTGTTTTTGGTGACTTGTGGCCAAATCTGTGGGAAGCTTGTCACTCGTCCTACTCCAAGACCCACAAACCTAACCTGGAAATGAGGCCCTGAATTAATTAGTGCACCTAAAAAAAAAAAAAAAAAAAAACCTACTCCTCTGCAGATGTACCAGGACTTGGTTAACTATTAATGTGCCAAGAGTGGGTGGGATTATGTTGACCCACTTACAGAGAACACCTTTATTTTGTCCTCTGGGTTTCGCTCCAATGCATTTCTGTTAAAAACCTGGGGAAAAAAATCTGGAAAATTATTTTTTTCTCGTCAGCCTTTATATAAAAAAAAAAGGAAAACTAAAAATACAGGAGGAATTTTCTTCACAGCCTCTGAGTCACTGTTTTTTCCTTTTAAGCAGATCCTTTGTGTCACGCATCACATCTGACCCATGGAAAAAAACGATGATGATATGAGGAATCACAATTTAGTGACTAAGCGACCCCCTATGTTTATATTGAAAATTGCAGGCGGATTTTGACGTTTTTGTTTTGTTTTTTTGTTGTTGTTGTTGTTTTTGTTAAAGTGAAAGATGTGGCAGTTTAACCAAAACCTGGGCAAAAATAGGGACAGCGAACGCAGCTAAAGGTTAGCCAGAGCTAGCTGATAAATTACCAAAAGTGAGCCTTAAAGCCTTTCTACTGAGGGGAAATCTGAAATCTCTATTTTTATTTCACTTTATTTGACCCTTAACAGTCGAGAACAATGACTCATTTTTATGAATCCGGAAAAAAAAAGGTGTTTGATGGTGTGTGTGTGCACGTGTGTGTTACCAGAAATAGAATTCCATCCAGACTTATCTGATGGAGGTCAGTGTGACACTAACAATACCTGGACATCAGCTCTCAGTGGGAGGAACTCAGGAACTGAGTGTGACTCCGTCAGACAGGAAGTGTCTGCAGTCGCACATTATTCCACTGTAAATAAACCGTTTTATTTCATGGACTGGTCAGGAGTCGATGAAGTCAAACTCACACTGACCTACGTTCCCTTCCTCCGCAGCTCTGACCAACGGGCCCATCTCAGGGACCTACAGGCTCAAGCAGTTCCACTTCCACTGGGGGGGCAGTGACGACAGAGGCTCTGAACACACCGTGGCCGGGACCAAGTATCCTGCTGAGGTGAGGAGGCTGCGAGTCATCGCCGACCCCCGGCTGTACTTCCTGACAGACTGGGGGTTGATGACAAACACACAGCAGACAGGATTCAAAACACATGTAGAGAGTGTTATTTCTTATCATGGATTTTTTTTTTTCCCAGCTCCACCTGGTGCACTGGAACACCAAGTATCCCAATTTTGGAGATGCTGCCAGTAAATCCGACGGCCTGGCTGTGGTTGGAGTTTTCCTGAAGGTCAGTCGTTGGGATTAACATATATTTATTTATTTTTTCATATCATTTTGTATATATATATTTGCTCTGGATTATTACAGTTTTTTTTGTCCCTAATCCCTGTGATATAACAGTAAACCTTTGTTTCCAGATTGGTGCTGATAATCCCAACCTACAGAAGGTTCTGGATGCCTTTGACTCCATTAAGGCCAAGGTAAAGAAAAATGTTTTTGTCCTTCACAATTTTTTTTTTTTTTTTTTTTTTGTGAATTGTTATTTTGAGCTGACTCACATTTTTGGGTAATTTTGTTGTTTTTTTTACTTAATTTCTCTTTATTTTCTTTACTTATTTTGACCTCCAAAGTGACCTTTCTTCCTGAGGTTTTGACATTTTCCTAACGTTTCTCTTTGACCCGCAGGGAAAGCAGACCACGTTTCCCAATTTCGACCCCACTTCCCTGCTCCCTGGATCCCTGGACTACTGGACCTACGATGGTTCTCTGACCACACCACCTCTGCTGGAGAGCGTCACCTGGATTGTGTGCAAAGAGCCGATCAGCGTGAGCCCCGCTCAGGTACGTCTGAAACCAGAGTCTGTCAGGCATCAGCGCACAGACTCCAATAACCCCATCCACAAATCCTGATTAAATGAATGGCCTGTTTGTCAGGAAAGCTAAGACCGCAGCAGTAAAAAAATTAGTGGAAAACTGAGAGAACAAGAGGCGCTCACATGCTGCCAGCGCAGCTTCAACCACAGTTTTTTTCTGTCTGGTTTAGTGGGAAGTTTACTGGAAACGTGGGTCACACACACACGCGTCACAGTCCGTAGGTGCAGAGACGCAGCTCTGCTGTGTGTGACCTCTGGGTGAAAATGTACGTTTACGTTTGAAATGACTCCTGAAAAAAGACGTGTTTGACTTTTCAGGAGTCATTTATCTGAGCTAACAGCCTCCAGTCTGACCGTGTGGTCATCTGGGCGGTCAGATGTTTACTTCACAACCACACATGGGGGTGAGGGGGGGGTTAACGTGAGGGATGAGCAGTCGATCGTCCAGACTCGGTGTCTGACCATGAACATAGACTAGGACCAATTTTTCATAATTACACCTCGTTTCAAGTGCAGCCGGAAATGACATGTTTTCACCAGTTTATTCCTGTAATTCACTGGAATAATAACCACACGACACACGTCACAGCAGCCAGCACCGAGGTGTAACAACTGCTCAGTCATATTCTCTGGAAAACAAAAAATATTCAGGCCAGAATTGCAAATAATTGCAAAACAAATTAAGAACAAATCTAAATTATTAGAAACATCAAAAGTAACATTTAAGGCTAATTTAAAGAAAGTGTCAAAAATGCTAAATGTTAGCCAAAATAGCTAATAATTATTAAGTGTTTTCATAAATACTCCCTGACTCCGTGCCAGGTTTGGCCCCTGAGCCAGACTTTGAATGCAGCTGACTTGTCATTAAGAATAGAAATGTGGGACATGTCCAGTGTGACGTGTAGAGAACTGCTCTCTCACTGCCGATAAGTATGACTTACATTTATCGGCCCACGTGTGACGTCATCCAGCCCAGATATGCTAAGCCACAGCCTGTAGTACAGTGTGATGAAACCTGCAGTTGTTTGTCTTTGTGTTTGACTCTTTCTGCTGACTGACAGTCACAGGAGGTCTAACCTCGCCGCCGTCTCCTCTTCTTCACAGATGGCCAAATTCCGCAGCCTGCTCTTCTCCGCTGAGGGTGAGCCCGAGTGCTGCATGGTGGACAACTACCGCCCCCCCCAGCCACTCAAGGGTCGCCCCGTCCGCGCTTCCTTCAAGTAATCGCCCCTCCCCCTCAACTCCACCCCACTCCTTTTGTTGCCCGCCCCGTCTTACCCTTCCCCCTCTACACCCTCTCTCGCCCACATACCCGACTCCGTCCAGTTTCTTCCAAATGTGGCCCCAATGCTTTTATGATGCTGGACCGTCTCCCCAGTGTGGGATGGTGCCCCCTGTGGGATCCTAGTTTTGCATGTAATTTATTTATAAATACTGTTTCCAAAAAAGTTGGTACACTTCACCACAAGTCTGTAGTTTGATGAATCACTTGAACGAAGAAAGAAAAAATCTGAAAAATGAAGTAACTAGAATCTAAATTGTCGGACTGAATGTGAACAGGGGTTGGGTTTTAAAGGAGCGTCTCAGTCCGGGTTCAGTCCGGATCGGTTTCCATAGACCGTAGTGACCGCGGACTGCAGGATTTCGCACTGGGAGAAAAGTGAAAGTGCTTTACTTGAATTGCACGTTTATGTCTTAATTCAGTTTTAGAAGTGTACCAACTTTTCTGGAAATCGGGTTTGTTGTAGGACAAGCTGTTTTAAGGTGGAGGCCACATGTTTACCAGGAGTTTAGTTCGACACCAGCGTGCGTTTAGTAATTTTCTGCTGCACAAAAGACTTTTGCACAAGATCATCGCAGAGGTTAGGGGCGATAGAAACGTGTGAGAAAACACACACACACACACACACACACACACAGTCCTGCTGCCATCCTTCTGTGATCCCTCGACACCAGCTTAACAAAGCGCGGCAGTGACAGAATGATGCCGAAAATCCCAGTCT